GTGAAGTTGGGTTGACTGATGGTGAAGTAATGTTGACTGATGGTGAGGTTGGGTTGACTGGTGATGTCATGTTTACTGATGGTGAGGTTGGGTTGAATGGTGATGTAATGTTGACTGGTGGGGATGTCATGTTGACTGGTGATGATGTCATGTTGACTGGTGATGATGTCCGGTTGACTGGTGGTGATGTTGGGTTGACTGGTGGTGAGGTGATGTTGACAAGTGGTGTTGAAGGGGCAACTGTGGTTGGGGCTGGAGTTGCAGCCAAAACAACTACAAATACAAATACAAATGTTCAAATACGTTATTGTGTGGTTTTGATAAACATATTCTTGTCACAAGATAGTCAGTATGTCCTCCCAATAATCAAACTTGACGGTTGGAAGATACAGCAAGTCTTACCTGCTGCAGAAATAGAACATGTGTTGACACTGAGAGAAAAATTGGAGCTGGAAGAGGCAGTCACCAAAGTTCCAGCTGCAGAAGTGGTATTTGGTAATGTATTCCCTTCATTGAATATCAGTTCAGCATCTACCTCAACGGATCCTTGACTGTAACACAAATATTTTGAAAAGTCATTTTTGATTCCTTATTGTCCTATTGTATATGTTAGCAAACAAGTAGAACAGCCATTTTACAAATGTAATGGCAAGCAATTGTTTTATACCTGAAGCTGTTGATGACAGTACGATTGAAGCTGGATCCATATTGTTCTGAATAGACCATGTCGAGCTGTGAATGAATTTGGTTGAAAAACATTCAAACATTTAAGAATAAAGATGATATAAGAAAATAATCATTTGAAATTAGTGTTTTTTAATAAATGTTCTTGAGTAGCAAAGGATAGTGTAAGACGCAAAAACAGAAGAAATATATAATATGAACTTACCGCTGTGGTCACTTTGTTCTTTAGTTCAAGGAACGCTGGTGAAGATTTGTTTGCAAGTTGAGGAGTAAAAGTTTCTTTCAACTTAAATCCCAACTTGATTTTTGGCTCTGTTGTGGTAGGTGTTGAGGTTGTAGTTGTAGTTGGAGAGCTAGTAGTTGTGATGCTTGGTGGTGCTGATGTTCCAGTGACAGGCGGAGTGCTTGCATTACCTTGAAATAAGGAAATATTTATTGGAAATAAATATAACATTACACCAAAAAAGGTTGCTTTACTATATATACATTTCAGCCAGTGATAGTGGTCCAATAATGAAAAAGACTGATGCTACATGTTTGGTGTATCTCACATTTAAATAAAATGAAAACATATAATTAATTATGGACTAGTGGTATAATAATCATTAAGTTAATACAAAATATAGTATATCCATTGTGGAGAGCATGTATTACCAGGCAAGGGCATTGTTGTAACTGGTGGTGAAGTCATGTTGACTGATGATGAGGTTGGGTTGACTGGTGATGTAATATTGACTGGTGGTGATGTCATCTTTACTGATGGTGAAGTTGGGTTGACTGATGGTGAGGTTGGGTTGACTGGTGATGTAAGGTTGACTGGTGGTGATGTCATGCTGACAGATGGTGAAGTTGGGTTAACTGGGGATGTAATGTTGACTGGTGATGAGGTTGGGTTGACTGATGATGTAATATTGGCTGGTGTTGATGTCATGTTAACTGATGGTGAAGTTGGGTTGACTGATGGTGAAGTAATGTTGACTGATGGTGAGGTTGGTTTGACTGGTGATGTAAGGTTGACTGGTGGTGATGTCATGCTAACAGATGGTGAAGTTGGGTTGACTGATGGTGAAGTAATGTTGACTGATGGTGAGGTTGGTTTGACTGGTGATGTAATATTGACTGGTGGTGATGTTGGGTTGACTGGTGAAGTAATGTTGGCTGATGTTGATGTCATGTTTACTGATGGTGAAGTTGGGTTGACTGATGGTGAAGTAATGTTGACTGATGGTGAGGTTGGGTTGACTGGTGATGTAATGTTGACTGGTGGGGATGTCATGTTGACTGGTGATGATGTCATGTTGACTGGTGATGATGTCCGGTTGACTGGTGGTGATGTTGGGTTGACTGGTGATGAAGTCATGTTGACTGGAGGTGAGGTGATGTTGACAAGTGGTGTTGAAGGGGCAACTGTGGTTGGGGCTGGAGTTGCAGCCAAAACAACTACAAATACAAATACAAATGTTCAAATACGTTATTGTGTGGTTTTGATAAACATATTCTTGTCACAAGATAGTCAGTATGTCCTCCCAATAATCAAACTTGACAGTTGGAAGATACAGCAAGTCTTACCTGCTGCAGAAATAGAAGATGTGTTGACACTGAGAGAAAAATTGGAGCTGGAAGAGGCAGTCACCAAAGTTCCAGCTGCAGAAGTGGTATTTGGTAATGTATTCCCTTCATTGAATATCAGTTCAGCATCTACCTCAACGGATCCTTGACTGTAACACAAATATTTTGAAAAGTCATTTTTGATTCCTTATTGTCCTATTGTATATGTTAGCAAACAAGTAGAACAGCCATTTTACAAATGTAATAGCAAGCAATTGTTTTATACCTGAAGCTGTTGATGACAGTACGATTGAAGCTGGATCCATATTGTTCTGAATAGACCATGTCGAGCTGTGAATGAATTTGGTTGAAAAACATTCAAACATTTAAGAATAAAGATGAAATAAGAAAAGAATCATTTGAAATGAGTGTTTTTTAATAAATGTTCTTGAGTAGCAAAGGATAGTGTAAGACGCAAAAACAGAAGAAATATATAATATGAACTTACCGCTGTGGTCACTTTGTTCTTTAGTTCAAGGAACGCTGGTGAAGATTTGTTTGCAAGTTGAGGAGTAAAAGTTTCTTTCAACTTAAATCCCAACTTGATTTTTGGCTCTGTTGTGGTAGGTGTTGAGGTTGTAGTTGTAGTTGGAGAGCTAACAGTTGTGATGCTAGGTGGTGCTGATGTTCCAGTGACAGGCGGAGTGCTTGCATTACCTTGAAATAAGGAAATATTTATTGGAAATAAATATAACATTACACCAAAAAAGGTTGCTTTACTATATATACATTTCAGCCAGTGATAGTGGTCCAATAAAGAAAAAGACTGATGCTACATGTTTGGTGTATCTCACATTTAAATAAAAATGAAAACATATAATTAATTATGGACTAGTGGTATAATAATCATTAAGTTAATACAAAATATAGTATATCCATTGTGGAGAGCATGTATTACCAGGCAAGGGCATTGTTGTAACTGGTGGTGAAGTCATGTTGACTGATGATGAGGTTGGGTTGACTGGTGATGTAATATTGACTGGTGGTGATGTCATCTTTACTGATGGTGAAGTTGGGTTGACTGATGGTGAAGTAATGTTGACTGATGGGGAGGTTGGGTTGACTGGTGATGTAAGGTTGGCTGGTGGTGATGTCATGCTAACAGATGGTGAAGTTGGGTTGACTGATGGTGAAGTAATGTTGACTGATGGTGAGGTTGGTTTGACTGGTGATGTAATATTGACTGGTGGTGATGTTGGGTTGACTGGTGATGTAATGTTGACTGATGGTGAAGTAATGTTGGCTGATGTTGATGTCATGTTTACTGATGGTGAAGTTGGGTTGACTGGTGGTGAAGTAATGTTGACTGTTGGTGATGTTGGGTTGACTGGTGATGTAAGGTTGACTGGTGATGTCATGTTTACTGATGGTGAAGTTGGGTTGACTGATGGTGAAGTAATGTTGACTGATGGTGAGGTTGGGTTGACTGGTGATGTCATGTTTACTGATGGTGAGGTTGGGTTGAATGGTGATGTCATGTTGACTGGTGGGGATGTCATGTTGACTGGTGGGGATATCATGTTGACTGGTGATGATGTCATGTTGACTGGTGGTGAAGTCATGTTGACTGATGATGAGGTTGGGTTAACTGGTGATGTAATATTGACTGGTGGTGATGTCATGTTTACTGATGGTGAAGTTGGGTTGACTGATGGTGAAGTAATGTTGACTGATGGGGAGGTTGGGTTGACTGGTGATGTAAGGTTGGCTGGTGGTGATGTCATGCTAACAGATGGTGAAGTTGGGTTGACTGATGGTGAAGTAATGTTGACTGATGGTGAGGTTGGTTTGACTGGTGATGTAATATTGACTGGTGGTGATGTTGGGTTGACTGGTGATGTAATGTTGACTGATGGTGAAGTAATGTTGGCTGATGTTGATGTCATGTTTACTGATGGTGAAGTTGGGTTGACTGGTGGTGAAGTAATGTTGACTGTTGGTGATGTTGGGTTGACTGGTGATGTAAGGTTGACTGGTGATGTCATGTTTACTGATGGTGAAGTTGGGTTGACTGATGGTGAAGTAATGTTGACTGATGGTGAGGTTGGGTTGACTGGTGATGTCATGTTTACTGATGGTGAGGTTGGGTTGAATGGTGATGTCATGTTGACTGGTGGGGATGTCATGTTGACTGGTGGGGATATCATGTTGACTGGTGATGATGTCATGTTGACTGGTGGTGAAGTCATGTTGACTGATGATGAGGTTGGGTTGACTGGTGATGTAATATTGACTGGTGGTGATGTCATGTTTACTGATGGTGAAGTTGGGTTGACTGATGGTGAAGTAATGTTGACTGATGGTGAGGTTGGGTTGACTGGTGATGTCATGTTAACTGATGGTGAGGTTGGGTTGAATGGTGATGTCATGTTGACTGATGATGAGGTTGGGTTGACTGGTGATGTAATATTGACTGGTGGTGATGTCATGTTTACTGATGGTGAAGTTGGGTTGACTGGTGATGTACTATTGACTGGTGGTGATGTCATGTTAACTGATGGTGAGGTTGGGTTGAATGGTGATGTCATGTTGACTGATGATGAGGTTGGGTTGACTGGTGATGTAATATTGACTGGTGGTGAAGTAATGTTGACTGATTGTGAGATGGGGTTGGCTGGTGATGTCATGTTGACTGGTTGTGATGTCATGTTGGGAAGTGGTGATGTCATGTTGACTGGTGATGAGGTGGGGTTGACTGGTGATGTCATGTTGAATGGTGGTAAAGTAAAGTTGCCTGATGGTGAGATTGGGTTGACTGGTGATGTCATGTTGACTGGTGGTGATGTCATACTGACAGATGGTGAAGTTGGGTTAACTGGTGATGTACTATTGACTGGTGGTGATGTCAAGTTTACTGATGATGAGGTCGGGTTGACTGGTGATGTCATGTTGAATGGTGGTAAAGTAAAGTTGCCTGATGGTGAAGTAATGTTGACTGGTGCTGTCATGTTGATTTGTGATGAGGTGGGATTGACTGGTGTTGAAGTAATGTTGACTGTTGATGCCATATTGACTGGTGGTGAAGTAATATTGGGAAGTGGTGATGTCAAGTTGACTTCTATTGAGGTGGGGTTTACTGGCGAGGTCATATTACCTGGGGCTGAAGTAATGTCAACTGCTGGTGATAAAGTCATGTTGACTGGTGATGAGGTGGGGTTGACTGGTGATGTCATGTTGACTGCTGGTGAAGTAATGTTTGGAAGTGTTGATGTCATGTTGACTGGTGATGAGGTGAAGTTTGCTGGAAGTGAGGTGATGTTGTGTGGTGGTGGTGATGTCATGTTGACTGGTGATGAGGTGGGGTTGACTGGTGATGTCATGTTGACTGGTGGTAAAGTAAAGTTTCCTGATGGTGAAGTAATGTTGACTGGTGCTGTCATGTTGATTTGTGATGAGGTGGGATTGACTGGTGTTGAAGTAATGTTGACTGTTGATGCCATATTGACTGGTGGTGAAGTAATGTTGGGAAGAGGTGATGTCAAATTGACTTCTATTGAGGTGGGGTTTACTGGTGAGGTCATATTACCTGGTGTTGAAGTAATGTTGACTGGTGGTGAAGAAGTCATGTTGACTGGTTTTGAGGTTGGGTTGACTGTTGAGGTCATGTTGAAGTGTGTGGAAGTCATATTTAGTGGTGGTGACGTCATGTTGACAGTTGGAGAGGTTGGATTGACTGTTGGGGAAGTCATGTTGACTGGTAGTGACGTCACATTGATTGGTGGTGAAGTCATGTTGATTGGCGAAGTGGCATTCACTGTAAGGTAAGGTGAAGGTAAGGTTGTATGAAATACAATTAAATGGCACTGTTATTTGTGTTTGAGGGACAAGTTGCTTTACCTGGAGACATTGTGGTGATTGGTGGATTTGAGGTTCCATTGCCTGGTGTGGATGTTAGGTTGACCGGTAATGTGGTTGAGTCAACTGCAAAAGAAAATGTTCATGAGAAAAATTCAAGTAACACATGATAATAAATTGTTCAATTGTTGTAGAAGTCCAGTCCTGCTTTTTTATTCCTCCAAAGGTAGCTTTAGGGTTGATCCCTGGTTGATCCTTATAAATCACTGATACAATCAAATGTACAAGGAATAAAAAACCTTTATTCGGCAGATCAACCTAAATATTTTATTAGAAGTCATATAACATGTTTAATAATCAAAGCCTATGGCTAAGTTATTAACTCAATATTTTACACTTGATGATTGGTCAATAAGGATACCTGCCATACCAGCACATATTGTGTGCTCATTCATTGCTGTTGTCTTAAAAGAATGTACAGAAGTATCATAATGTTACCTGTTGTTGCACTAGTGGTTGAGGCCGACGTTGTTCTCACCTCTTCTGTAAAGAAAATGTCACAATGATCCAACTTAATTCCGTCCGAAGTAATATTACATTTAAATTAAATTAAATTGTCCCTTAATCTTCCCCCACTTCCCTCCCCTCTTTCTCTCTTTCTCTCTTTCTCACACACACAAACACACATACATTCAAATAAATACCTGCACATAAGAGAAGGAATATAAGAAGAATCATCTTCTCTTTTTCCCGTTCCTGTGAAATAAAAGAGAAATATATATATATTTTAATATGCAAAATGTGTCCTTCTAATTTACACTGTTAATTGTCAAAACAGCTCCACAATTAATCCTACCATCACATGTTTCATGCTTAAAGACGGGTTATTCAACTGAATGACCAGTTTGAGGTTATAGTTTAAGGTATTTGTAATATGTTGTTGCTCCCATTTATATCTATTAGGATGCAACATTTAAGAAACACCACTATATTTAACTAAATGCAATTCAACAGAAACGTAAAAGTATATCCTTAAAAATCACTTTCATTAAGAGCTTATTAATGATTTGTATGAAAATGTTTGTAAAACATCTATAAAAATAGATGGAAAATACACCAATTATTAACAATTTACACATTTCTAGCTATCTATCTTGATAATGGTTCTTTACAAGTAATTTATTAGCCATTTTCGGGTCAATTATGTTACAAATTGTTACAAATTTGATCCATCTATCTATGTTATTATTTTAGATGTTTAATACAAATGTTGTTCTCAAGGTTTACAAATCCTTTGGGAATAATAATTCACAGATATTTAATCTTGTACATAAGTAATTAGTACAGAAATTCCCTCTTTAAAAAGCTAATTATAGTATTTATAATAAACATTATTCATTATCATTTAATTGTTATGTAAATATGATTCACTATTAGCTATCTTCGTTAAATACGTTATGTTAAATGATATATACATTATTTATGTATTAATGATAGTTATGACAAGGTCGTATCCCTTATAAACTACCATTGAATCACATGATGCATAGCAACTTAAAAGTAACAATAAAAGTGCTTTTGACTATGGTTTATACCCTTGTCCTAGCACCTGCCAGGCTATTCAAGTTTCTGTAATGGTGTATGTGTATGCTCTGCCAACAAGACTACTGAATAATTTTTTTTAAATATGTATTTTATCAAACATATAATGGCCTAGTTAAATTATCTTATCCAAATTTGATTGTGATCTGGACTCTGATTCTTACACCAAAGGGCTTTAACATTTTATTAAAATCTTATATTGAACATTCATATTTAATAGAAAAACAATTGTATCAACATTTCAGCCCAGGATTCATTAGTGTCTGTGATAAACCTTATTTATTCGAATATCAGAATACATACTTTACTATGTTGTCCAATTAGGAACCATTTGGTTATTTTCCATCATAAATAGTGATTTATATTTGTTAAATAAAAGCAACAACGGTTAAATTAATTGAAATTCCTACTCAACAAACGTGTTTATAGCATGGCCCAACCCTGACAAGCCAAGCATTGCAATCCATTATGTTAATTATATTGTTCAATTATTATTTAACCTTTCCAGCCTTCAGAATAACATGCATTACACGTATTAATGCTTTGTTTGTCAGGATTTTTTTTGTTATTAAAAATAATGAAAATGAAAGGTGTTTCTTAGCAAATACCTAAATAGTAAGAGTCAATAGAAATGTGCAATTTAAAAGCAGTACACATATTAAAGGAAAAGTGTAGATTGTGAATTAAAGTTAGAAATCACTTGATGCATTTCCGAGCCCAAATGGAAGTTATTCATTCAAAACAGTTTAATTCTAATTCAAAAAAACTTGTACAGAAAAACCACCAATTAAAATGTTTTACCTAGGCATTTATTATGAACTCATCATTATACCAAATTGCATACTATGTGGTTTAGCGACAGTCTATTTTAAAATAAAGTGTTAACAGATATTGGTCATGGTTAATTTCTTTAAAGGTTGAAATGTATAAAACATGAAGGTGAATATTCTTACCTCGTTGGAGTTCCAAGTCCAATTGTGCAGCAATATTGTTAAATTTGCAGCAGTTCAATCAATGGTAGAAACTGACACAAAGAAGGCACAACACACCTTGAAGATGTGAAGATGGAAGTGAACACTTGTCAGTGAGTCAGGGCTTTTTGAGACCAGACATTCTTCTTTTTTTATTTCTCAGGAATTACAACAACATCATTGTACAAAACAAACTCTTCATTAATCCCTTGTCAATGTTGTTTGAAGAGATGCATTCTTTCATCACTTGACAAAAGAGATCCGCTCAACTAACTTCATGCTAGAGACAGTCTGAGATAATCTGTTAAAACAATCTCACATTTTTCGAAGCAGACACTTACAGTATCAGAATCAGAATACCTTTATTAGTCCCACAGAGGGGACATTTGCAGCGTTACAGCAGGAAAGAGCCACAGACAGCTTACCCAGCAACCCAGTCTCATGGCATTTCGTGTTCACCAACACAACATTTAATCTATTGATTCGATTTTCCACTTTTTTTCGTGTTGCACAGCACGATTTTAAAGGCAATGTATTTACTGGTTATGTGTTTCGTGCCTGCAGCACGTCTTTTCCTCCGGTCGGGTTTGATTGATTGATTGAAAAGTCTATTAACAGCTTGTACATTGGGTACAGTACAGTACAGCTCAAAACATACAATTGTTAAGGGGATGCAGACCAGAGAAAAACTTTCGTCTTGTTTACATCAGGGTCCCCCATTTCCAATTCATCATGTCATTTAAGACATATAAGACATATTTGACATACAGATGGCTTATTTACAATTTACATACAGGTGGTTTTTTACATACAGATTGCTTATTTACAATTTTCATTTTAGATTTCGTTCTAATACATCCTAACCGGACATTTAAGACATACCAAGTCTACAGATATACAGTTAGTAACAGAGTCTAAAATGCGAGTACATACATAGATGGGGGGGGAAGCTGTCCATTGAACGACAGGTTGAGATTTGTACCATTACCGGGGCCAGTTTTGCAATGCTCTCCCCCGAAGGTGCTCTTTAAGAGAGGTTTTGAAGGTAAGTATAGTTTTACTTTCCTCTACAGTTGTGGGAAGAGCGTTCCACCTTGATGTGGCATAATTGCGAAACGTGTATTCCCCCTTTTTTGTGCCAAATCTGGGTTTCTCATGATTTGTGGAGCTCCCTCTGGTGTTATGATCATGGTATTCCTTGACCTTTGGGAAGAATTTTGACATGTACATGGGTACCATAGAGGTGTAGTGGATCTTGTAGACCCATTGCAAGTAGCTGTACTCTGTCGTCTACTCTAAGCCATCCTAGGTTGTCAAAGTGGGCAAAGGTGAGGTGGGTTCTAGATGAAAGGTCAAGCAGTAGGGTCGTGGAAGACCGGAAGCTGTGTGGTTCATAAAAACATGTTCTTACTCAATATCAAGCCACAATTATTGCTTTTATTTTAAATCGTATAATTTCGGACTTTTGTTGCCGTCTGTGAGGAAAATAAATGGGGCTCAGAGCCTCAGAATACTGAAATCTGTATTTTTTAAATCTTTTTTTCCTTCTAATTTGTTATTCTTTTCAAAATAACACACTGTTATTTACTCACCAATAACACACAATTATCCTTGCTTTTATTTATTGGTTTAATTCCATAATCTCTGGCTTTTTTGGCGTCCGTCAGGAACTGAATTTAAAAATAAAAATAACCGGAAACAGACGTAGGCATTTCGCAAGAAATCTACCCTCGTGGGGGCGCGCTCATGTGATTGGCTTAGAATTGAGGAGACATCTGATTGGCTATAGATAGAAAAAATTACAAGTACGAATCGGGTGAGCGTCAGGGGAGTCTCAAAAAACCCACACACGAATGCACAGCGATCCGTGCACAGAAAGCGGTTTGTGTTTGTAGGTGCAGCGGTTTTAAACGGAAAACTAATATGTGAGGATCAAAAATACATATGTAAAACTTTTTTCTGCATTGGATTTTATTTACATGTATATGAAACGGAACACATTTGTGTGTGCATCGAAAAACACAAGTGTGGATCCGGAAATACAAGTGTGAATCCTTTTTCGGATCATGAAATACAAGTGTGAATCCTTCTGTGTGTGCATGTGTGTATTATGAGACTGTTCTGAGCCCATAGGGGAGTGTTGGCGCCGTCTGAAATCCACCACCAGCTCCTTGGTCTTCGCTGCGTTCAGCTGAAGGTGGTTCCTCTGGCACCATAAGGTGAAGTCCTGCGTCAGCTCCCTGTACTCCCTGTCATCCTCGTTGGTGATGAGGCCAATGATGGCGGAGAACTTCTGCAGGTGACAGGTTGCAGTGTTGTGGGTGAAGTCTGCAGTGTAGAGGGTGAAGAGAAACGGTGCCAGCACCGTCCCCCGTACTGCTGATGATGGTGTCTGATTGACACTCCCTGGTCCTCACGTACTGTGGGCGGTTGGTGAGGTAGTCCAGGATCCAGGAGGTGAGGTGGTGATCCACCCCCGAGAGCTGCAGCTTGTCCCCCAGGAGTGGGGTCTGGATGGTGTTGAAGGCACTGGAGAAATCAAAGAAAATGATCCTCACTGTGCCCCCCCCATGTTTCTCCAGGTGGGAGAGGGACCTCTGCAGCAGGTAGATGACAGCGTCATCCACCCCGATGGCAGGCTGGCAGGCGAACTGCAGCGGGAATTTACAAGTATAACTAATGGCAACAATGATGGTTTGATTAAATTAACTAGAAGCCTCTGGTTTGTGGTATCCGACTCAGAATCAGTCAACAAAAACACTAAGTTAATAATGTTAGTGCTGCACCTATGTCTATTGAGGAAATGTACAGTATAGGATCCGATTCTCTTTTGTCATGCATCCTCGACAAAGTATTTCCTAGAGCACAGCTTAATTTATACTCACATATTTACAGAGTTGTGCACTGTGCAGGCATTTTAAAACATTAATGGATCATATTTTTAAACTACTACGTGCTAAATTCTTGACCTTGGCAATAGCTGTCACAAAATAATCCAAACTCAAGGGCCTTTAACTTGCTTTTTTAAGAGATTTTGGAAAAAGTATTTGTCAGTGAGGTGTGTAAGTAGACCAAATAGAAAGTACTAAAGAGTATTTAACAACAACCAATACATGAATTGGTGGAAATAAGTAAAGATTACGTTGCCAAATGATCAGGATCACTTTCCCTCACCATACATCTGCAACAATGGACTTAATGACTACATCTTGCTTTTTTCAGTGGAAAACTTTGAATAACTGCAGAAGAAAATACCACGTTTTAATCCTCTCTTTGTCACAGAAATAAAACAGGAAGTACATAATGTCAAGAGTATTTATCTTGTTTTCGTCAAAAATAGTGAAAATATATGATCTTTGTTTCCTGTGTGTGCAATGTATTGTTGTTAGAGAAAGGCATAATGTGGTATACCTTTAATGCACACATTCTAAAGCTTCTATGGCAGGGGCAGGGCTCGACATTAAGGGCTGCCCGATGGCCCGGGGCCATCTAGTATTTAGCTCGGGCAATGAAGCCTCACCTGCTGGTTGCCCGATCGGGCAATCTATTATGCCAGTATCATGCAGCTCGCGGATCAGTAATGAGTGACCCGACAGTAAAACTAAACATATCTATAACTAGTTTAGGTAGTTTGAGAGGTAATTAAAATAGCTACGTGTGATATTCTAACCTGAAGTGTGTGTTTTGTCCACTCACCGCTGCATGTGATTATGCAGAGCTGCGTGTCGAGTCTCGACTCGTCAGCAGCAGCTGATCTCTCTCTCCCGTCAGATTAGACTTCACTCGCGTTTATGTCCATATCGATCAGATCCAGCTAGTTCTAGCTAATGATATGACTACCTGCTTATTAAAAGACACCTAAACAATAAGTGTCGCTATGCAACTGGGTGAGGCCACAAAGTATAGCGCAGCATTATGTATTTGTTTACATGCCCACCGGAACCCCGAGGCATTACCAACAGATCAACGCACAATCAACCCATACAGGACATCTCTTTCTCCACATTAAGTGTTAGACATTAGAATTGACTATTCTTGTCTGTCACATAAGTGGCGCAACTGAAGCGGTATTGCGCTAAAGGGAAATTATTTTGACTGGACATTTTGACCAAAGAGATTTAGATTTTGCCGGCTAACGGGAACTCTGACGTCGCCATTTTGTGTGCTTCGCGGATGCGCTCGGCTCCTCTCGACTGCTGCTCGGGTCTGCTCGGTCAGCTTCCGGATGAGGAGGCATTCGTTCGACCAACTTACAGTAGATAATATTACAAACATTTTTAATAGGGGCCATAACAGTGTAAATAATGTTTGTTTTGGCAGTTATAACTGAATGTAATGTTTTCTACTTTTTTCCATCTGGGAAGGCATTTGCCTTCATCAGATGGAAAGTGTCTTGACCAACAACTTAAGTGTTTCTTATAGCTATGCAGGGCATGCAAGCGAGCAAACACAAACAAGAACAAACAAACAAGTGAAATGAAGAATAAAATTGAAATTGTACAATATAATATTGTGGTGGTTCATCTTATAATTCAGTCAAGAGAATGCACCAGACAGCATCTAAGACCTGCAAAAATCTAAATGTTCTAGGGGGAGGCCCCCCAAACCCTCCGCGCACATTTTTCAGGGCAATCTCTATTGGGCTCAGGGCCATCTGTAAATTAGCTTAGATGGCCCACAGGGCCATCTCCCAAAATCCTTAATGTCATGCACTGCAGGGGTACTCAAATACAAATCTTAAAGGTCCAAAATAAATGTTTCAATAAGACAAAGGTCCGTTTATTACGGTCATTCAAACTTTTAAACAATTGCAACAAGATTCTTAACACGAGGTTGCAAAAACAAAAATAATCTGTATGCAGCAGTTTTCATTGTTATTGTTTCTGTGCTTGACCCCTCAGAGTCGCAGTGTAAGAGCTGCACAGTTAGGAATAAAGGCAGCTGCACCCTCTTTCATTCAGCATTCCCATTATTGCTTTATAAATGTCTTGCCCCCTTGTGTGTCCACTGAGGTTCGTCAGGCCCAACACATCTTCAACAAACTCCCCCTTTGCCTCATCATAAAAACTCACAAACACCAGCAACTGAGCATTGTGAGTGGTGGGGTTACATGACGTGCATCTTGTGCTGCATTCACTTGCACTCGGACATTAGAGACTTTCTCTCATAAA